TTGGTCTAATAAAAGATATAGGATTTACCCAAAGAACCTTGTCTGCTTTAAGTGCCTAGTGACACAAAGACAACTAAATACATGAGTATAAGGGTATTGTAAGGTAGCTGTTTTAGTGTGATGTCAGGCAGAAGGCAGGGCAGCACTCACTCGACTAACTCATTCAGAGTTATGATAAGAATTAGTATCACCCTGCCCTGCTTTTTGAGTATAAGTGTATGAATCTAACTCCCTGTAGAACTCTACGTTTGCACCTGTAAAGACCTTTAAGGCTGTGTCCAGACAAACATGACTGTGTGGTACGAGGCACTGCAGATGCGTCTGCAGCACCACATACCACACATTTAGGTGTTTTCCACACTGCAAGGGAGTAGCATGGGATAGACAGAGGTGTGCTTTGACCCTGGGAGATCCCAGGATCGAAAAAAAAGAGTGAAGAAAACAAACAAAAGTCAGGTGGCACACACAGGGACAGTGTGTGCCACCCCAAACTAGAGCCTGGCTGGCCGCAGCCACAATCCAGCCACTGGCCAGACTCTGAGCTGCCGGATCACTGCTGCTGCAACCCCAGGAGACCCCCAGGGCCGCAGGTAAGGCTGCTGGGCCCAGCCCAATGCTGACCCCAACCTCTCCTATGCCACCCAAAGTAACTTGCTACACACCAGAGGGCATGTGGCACAGGCACTTCCTAGGGACAAGTAGCAGTGGCACAAGGTGTGGACACAGCCTAAGTGTTTAAAGTTCTGCTTCCACGTATGGACAGAACCACCTCAGCCTTGCCAGGTCTGAGCTGCTCAGCACCCATACCATGTCTAGGCCAACCAGGTTGCTTGGGCTAGGAATTCATTGTCCTCTCTCTGTGTAACATCCAATCTGGCAGCTATACCCTTAGTGCATCTATGAGCTCAGGATTCATATAGAACAGAGGTGGCTACTTTCAAGCAGAAAAAATTAAGGAGAAAAATGGGGAGGAAGAAGAAAAAATGGCACTACTTCTCTGAAGAGCTGCTTAATCATTATAGCATGCATTTAGATGGATGAAATCTGAGATTTAGTTTCTGCTGCAAAGGTTGTTCATGTATTACATTAAACCAACATTAGATAAGAGACAGAAGCAGTTCTTGAAACAGAGACTGGAATCCAGGACTGTCCTCTCCCAAGTGAGTGCCCTAACCACTAGGCTATACAGTGAGAATCACACATGCACTCGCTCATGCTCTTTCCCCCCAGCTCTCCTCCACTTTCTTTCTGAATCAATGAATTCTTCATTTTCCTGTGAAGTGGAACACTGCCTCTTTCATCAGAATAACCTATAGTGTGTTAGTTAGGGCACTTCTAGGAGCAGGGAGAAGTTTGAATATCTCCGGGAAAGAGGACATTGCACCCAGGTAATCCACATGCTGGGCAAGTGCTCCACCTTCTGAACAGGACCGGGTGCCTCCTTCTAGCCCAGAGTAATGTACCTAAACCCCAGAGAGAGGAGGGGGAAGCTTAAGAAACAATCCTCTCCATCATTTCCTAACACCACACTGGCAGCTGTGGATCCCATTCTAAGGCAACTACCTCTCCCCATACATTGCACAAGGAGTTTAGATTCCTAGCTCAGAGCTGTAGATTTCACTCTAGAGGCCAGTTGCCTCACTTAGGAACTACACTGCTCAGCCTTCTGGGGTTACCGTATGTCTGGGTTTCCCTGGACATGACCTCTTTTTGAGCCCTCTGATCTCCATCCGGGCAGATTTTTAAAAATCAGACCAAATGTCTGGGATTTTGCTTTGCTCCGCCGGTGACAGCAGCAGTGACATGCCAATACCCTGCTTCTGTTGTTCCTCACTGCCAAGCCCCAGCCCCCGCAGCTGCTACTCCTTCCCAACCCACTGACTCCAGCCCTGCCAGTGCCCCTCATTCCCAAACTGCAGTACCCTGTCCCCCCTCTCCCCGCATGATGGTGCTATTCACTCCTGACCTGCAACTCTCTCCCCCCCGCCCCCCACTGGTGCCTGTCACTCCTGCCCCGCTGGCACTGCCAGCATCCTGCACTCCCAACTCACAGACCAACCCTCCTCAGTGCCCCTGACTCCCAACCCGCAACCTCTGCCCTCCCCACCCCCAGCCCTGCCAGAGGGGCCCCAGCTGCCTTGTCCTGATTGGGCAGGAGCACAATGGTTCTGATTCATGCAGGCAGAGGCGGAGTGGGTCCGGCCCCAGCGTGGGCTGGAGGGAAGAGGTGAGCAGGCTTGTGGCACGCCCTGCCCTGGAACGGGGCTGCCATGCTGCATCAGGCAGCCTGATCACAGTCCCCTCCACCATTCCTTCCCACTCTCCCCAGACAGTGTCTCCTGGCCACTCCACCCCTACCAGCACAGGCACTGGCCCATGCTACCGGCCGGACACAGAGGTCCTCGCTGCCCTCAAAGATTCCCCACCCCTGTTCCCCTGCTGGAGGGGCATGCAGCCCCTCTGCCTCCCCTGCCCTGTCGCAGCCCCAGTCCCTACCCCCCTGCCCTGACCAAATGTCCAAGATTTTGCTTTTCTTCACTGCTGGGAACAGGGGGAGGGAGATTGGAGGCAGCAGGAAGCACCACATGGGTCTGTGCGTGCCTCCGCAGCTGCAGGCATGTATGTCTGTGCTCCCTGCTGCCTCTGATCACCTCCCCCCCCCGCCATGTGACATCTTTTTTGGATCGGGAAATATGGTAACCCTATACATATACTGGATTTCCTTGCACACCACATGCCCCCACATAACACACACTTTGTTTTAGAAGGTAAAATGTGAAAAAAAAATCCAAAGTCACAGGCAGGAGCTAACAGCATGCAGGAGCTCACTCACCCTCAGCCAGCTTACTGGCTGCTTCACACCAAAGCTACAGTGTTAACCCTTTCACAGCTGCTGCTAAATTGTTAACAGCTTTTGGTGGCTCTGCCAGAAACTACTGCCATTCAGCAGTGTCTGTGAGGAGATTAAAACTGGACTCTCCCACTGCTGCTTGCTAACCCACAGAGAAGGGGCAACCATTCCAGCACAGAGTCTCCATACTTTTGTTTCTCCATGATTCTGTTCTGATAAAGAAAGTCAGCAACGACTTTCAGGCTTAAGACGTCATATTTGGAGGGCTGATTTTTTTTAGAGAAAAGGAGCATGTGATACATGAGTTAAATATGATATGTCTCATTGTCTATGCCAGTCTAAGCGTCTTGCTCAAGATCACAGGAAGAACACAGCACAGAACTGAATTGGGTCTCCCGAATCACAGACTAATGTCATAATCACTGGATCATCCTTCCTCTCTAACTTAAGACAAGATGCAATGCATGAGTGTAATAAAAAGAAAAGAGAACTATTATAAAGCACCTGGGTGATTATGTATATATACTAAGGGTTCAACAAGCTATGTAATTAAACACACACACACATACACACACAATTAAATACCAGAAATTTCCAATGGCTTTATCTTAGCTCATATTAGCTGGCAATTTCTTTAAGTACTACAGCAAAAATTAGTTTTCAGATGGTATTTGAAAATGAGGGTACTGATGTTACAGACTAGACTGAGGAGGCTCTTACATTCATAAGATATGCTGTGAAGAAACTGCAAAGACAGAAGAAACCACTGCTTTAGAAAGAGAGCCCTGAACTAAAATGATCTATAACCCTTGTCATTACCCTCTGTGGCATCCACCATCATTGGTTGAAAGATGCCAGAGAATACAAGTCTTGACTGTTCCATTTAACAGCTATTAATGGATCTATTATCTGTTAATTTATGTAGTCCTTTTTTGAACCTGGCTATACTATCTGCCTCTACAATCTCCTGTGGTTATGAGTTCTACAAGTTAACTATATGCTGCATAAAATAGTATTTTCTCTTGTTAGTATTAAACCTGTCTCCTACTAATTTGAGTGGGTGCCAGTTTTAGTGATCTGGGACTTGCTGAAAAACAGTTCACTATTCACTTTGTCTACACTTTTTATGATGTTACAGACCTCTATCATATCCCTCCTTTAGCCTTCTCCTTTTCAAACCAAAAAGTCCTAGCCTTTTTAGGCACTGCTGGTATGGCAACTGCTCCATACCCCTGATCAATTTGGTTGCCCTGTTCTGTACCTTTTCTGATTCTACTACATCTTTCTTGAGATCCAGAGACCAGAACTACATAGTGTTCCATATGTGGATGAACCATGGTTTTGTATAGCAGCATGATGATGTTTTGCATTTGGTTTTCAATTCCTTTCTTAATGATACCCAACATTTTATTGGCTTTTATGGTGGCCGCTGTACATTGATCTGAGGTTTTTAGAGATCTATCTACAATTACTCCAAGGTCTCTTTCCTGAGTTGTAACAGCCATTTCAGAACCCAGCATTGCGTATATATAACTGAAGATACTTTCGCCCATGCTCATTACCTTGCATGCCTTCATTGACATGGAAGTTCATCTGCCATTTTTTCACCCACTCACTCAGCTTGGTAAAATCTTTCTGTAGCTCTTCTCTGTAAGTTTGAGATTTGACTACCCAGAACAATTTAGTATCATCTGCAAACTTGAAAGATTTCCCTATGCACCTCCATTTCCAGCTCACCGATAAAAATGTTGAAAAAAACAGACCCCTATGAGACCCCACGTCTGACTTTCCTCCACCCTGCATATTGGCTATTTAGCCCTACCTTTTTGCTTCCTATCTTTTAAACAACCCTCAGTCCATGAAAGAACCTTCCCTCCAATCCCATGACAACTGCGTTTTTTACATCTTTGGTTAGGAATTTTGTTGAAAGCTTTTTGAAAATCCAAATACATTAGGTCAACTGGATTCCTTTGTCCATGAGCTTAACAGCTTCAAAGAACTCCAGCAGATAGCTGAGGTAAGATTTCCCTTAAAAAACATGTTGACTCTTCTCCTGGCCAATCATTTGTCTATGCGACTGCTGATTTTATTCTTAATTGTAGATTACAGCATCTCTTCTGCTTCAGTGAAATATGAATATTATACTCACCATCCATAAAAGCTTGAACTGCTTTGTCTACATTGTTATCAAACTGCTGCAGCACCAGAACTATTTCATTATTGCTTTTGTTAGGAACAACTGATCGGACTGCACTGATCTAGAAAAAAACAAAGACAAAAATATGCAGTTTTATCATATTCGCTCAGATGAAATGATGTCACTGAAAAGAAAAAAAAAGTATGGTTTTATTATTTACTTGCAATTTTGTAACAGAATATTTGTACAAAGTAATATTTCACAATTCCCTTCCTAGTATATGTAATAGCCACAAGCAGCTTCTTGGAGAGATTAGTACAGAGAACTGATAGCCAGGAGTCCTATGGACAAAAATTAGTTTCCATTACATGTGGTGTAATGGCATGATTTAATTAACATAATTTGGCCCATGGTTTCTATTCTTGGAACTACTACTCTCACACCATGACTTTCAGCAGGCCATGTTTCTTGTCTTACCCTTGATTTAATCATCTGTGAAATGAGTTTAAAATGTAACCATCTCAAACAAGAGTATTTATTCCTGGTTGCAATGTGTTTTGTGATCCTTGAATATTTGCAAAGAATTCTTATTGATAAACAAGTCATATTTTAAAAAGAAGGGAGCATATAAAGCTAGTTTTAGAAAGCAAAAATGGCAAACATGCATTATTCAATATATGTTTATTATATATGTAGTCTGGGTGCATCCAGATGAGTGTGTACATGTGCTTTGTGGTGCCTCAAACCTGTTTGAAGCACTGCAAACCGCACATGGCCCACGTGCAGCTGTGTGCCGTGCTGCAAATTTGCAGTGTGGCACCAAAATTTGACACTCCCAGTATAAAAAAAAAAAAATGCCAAAAAAACCCAATGCAGCACATGTGCCAGCACACTTGAAGACATGGTCCTCCAGGGAGATGATCTGGCCAAAGCATCTCCCCTCCTCTAGTTGTCCCTCAGGTCCTCCAGCATGGCATAAGCCAAGAGGAGCAACACAATGGCAGTTTTCCCAAGGCAGGGCAATTTGCTCCACACCAAACCACTCACACAGGGGCGTGCACAGTGGCAAAATGTAGCGGCAAAATAAACTGACAAAGGTGCTTGGCAAAACTTAAAAAAATAGAGAAAATCGGTGCCAAAATGTCTGGTTTGTCCCAAATCAGCTTTTAAAGCTTTTCTATCAAGAGATCCTGTATTGTTATAAACTTATTGCACTGCAAGTATATAATTAAATTGTACCAGTAGCCTGTTCAGGAATAGACTAAGTATAAATTATGTGGCTATGTAACAGTAAAATATTAGTGAAGCAGCACTGAGAGAATGGCATCCACAAGCTGGAACTCAATTTACACTGAAGGCAGTGGTTGCAAAGCTTTTATTCCCCTTTCTTTCATTCATGATTGCATGGATCACCTCCTTTCCCATTCACAAATGTGTAACATCCTTGTGGCAATTCTTGCCGTGAAAAAGTCTGTTTTACTTTCTTACAAAAGGAAAGTGCTTAGTATAATTTAACTGTCCTTAAATGTAGCAAGTATGGAACTTTTACATGGCTTCTTGGCCCTTCTTTCCAATTAGAAATCTGCAGGCCCACAGACACATCTGGAAACAAGGAAAGGAAGCCAGGCCCTTAGGACCAGCCAGCCCTCCACAGAATGAAGTTCAGAAACAGCTGTTGAAGAAAATTAAATGGGGTTCTTGTAGACAGCTGTGGGGTGGAGAGCAATATAGACAAAGAGAACTAAGACCAGGACACATTTCAGGCTAGAATAACCACCAAGGATTTCCAATTTGTATTATACAGGCTCTGAATATTTGAATGTTTAACTGAAAAGCCTGAACCAAATACTAAACTCTGTTTCACCCCTCCCAAAATCATTCATTCCTCCTTCCAAAAGCGTCCAGACATTCTCTTCATTCTACATTCTGACCTTTCCTCATTCTCATTTCTTTTTCACATCTATTCATTATCTTCATCAGACATTTCTCAGGAACAAGGATATTCATTTTCTAAACCTTTTTTTTTTTTTTGGAAACATGATTTTTTCCTGTATCTGCCTTATGTCATCATCAGGTCTCTAGTCACATAGTATTTCTGAGATCTATAGATATAACTCTTTTTCCTTATAAGTCAACAATATTGTTGCATTCTGTTTTCAATAATGTAAATGTTCTTTTGATTTTAGAGATCTGTCAACAGGCAAAAAAATATATGTAAGCACATTAGCATAAGGCTCCATCTCTAATACTATTCATATTCACCATTATTCAAAAAAATAAAGCATTAATAGTTATTTCATAAATATACTTACAGCAGTACTCTCTACGTGCTAAGTAATATATAACATTTATTATTCTTACAGTAGTACATAAAGTTTCATTTTGATAAGTAAGTAACCCCCAGAAGATGATGCAATTTCCCCCAAAATTTCAGTTTGCACCCAAAAAAGCAGAACCTCCCCACCTTTTTTTCCCTCGTGCATTCAAATTTCTAGTTATCTCTACTGGTTACAGATTCCAAATGTGTGGGTTCAAAATTCAGTCACATCAACTGGCTAAACACTGTTGATATACAAGAACTGATTTAGCTCAGGATCTGATCTCCCTAAGGAAGACTTGCATGGCTTCATCCCAAGACAAGTAGAGACAACAAATAGAGATGGTAGGACTAAGAGCATGGCATAGGGCCATGTGGTAAACCTATACACACTGAGAACAAAGGAGAAAATTTCAGTGTAGTGTAAATCCACAAAAGTAGCAATAATTTATTATCAGTACATATCTTACCCTAATATTAGCACTTCTAGATACTGCATAGCAATATGAAATGATGTGAAGGTATTACAATTTGTCCTTAGACAAGGACTCACTGTTAAAGCAGTCCCTTATTATGAGATCTGAGACTCAAGTTTTTTAATGATTACTATCATTATAACACCAGGGTTTCTTTGTGCAGATTAAAAATACTTAGGAAGAGTATACTGTGATTGAGTCACTGTTTGCTTATTTATGTGACTGTTCAAGTTTAGTGACTGCAAGCAGAGGTATTGTTTCAGTAACCTAGGTAAAAAAAAGAGTTGGAAGTCTATGTCCAGACCCAGCAGACAGGAATTCACTTCATGCCGAAACACTTTTACAGCAGATATCTGTGCTGAAAGATCCAATAGAGGCTAATGACCAAACCATACACGTATAAAATACTTAAATGTTAAAGTTATGAATTTAACCCATAAAAGCAAGAAAATAAGTTGAAGGAAAAATGTCCTCCAATAGAGAAAAGCAATGGAAATATTGGCAAGCCTCTGAAAGTAATTTCACTGTGGGTAAGTCATGGGAAGTTCAGTTTACCCTATGCATTTCTTCTTTTCAGGTGCATATTACAATCTTAAAACAGATAACATCAACCTAATTATCACCTCCTTTGAGAAAAAGTTTTAATATTATCATATTTACTTGAATTCAAGACAAGTTTTTTTCCCCCCATTTAACATAGGGAAAAATGCTCCTTGCCTTGAGGCAGATACAAGCAGGGAAATGGAAAGCAGGCAGCTGCTGCAGTTCTGACTGCAGCCCCAGTGTAGGGGTGGGGTTGGAGCTGGAGTCACAGCTCCCCTCCCCTACTGATGCCTCTGCCCCACAAGCACCTGATGCCACTTCTTACCCTCTGGTTCTGGCCCTGGCTCATAAAGGATGGAGGGAAGGGGCAGGCATGAGACAGTGCAGGAAGTAGGAGCAGGGAGTGGTGATGGAGCTAGATGGCCAGGGTCAGGCCACTTGATTCCCCCATCTCTGCCTCCTATCACCTGCCTCATTGCCTGCCCTCCTACTGCTTGCCCCCCACCATCTTCCTTCCCATCTTTCCCCTACCATTGCTTGTCCTACTACAGCGGTGGAGGGGATGAATTTAAGATGATCCCTTAATAATTAGACTCTACACATGAAAAATTACAGAATCTAATTACTCGGGAATTAGCTTAAATTCCAAGTCATCTTGCATTTGAGTAAATGAGACAGTGTTCCAAATACTGTAACTCCCTATGATTACTAGCACATAATTCACAAGAGTCAGAAATGAATTTAGCCCATACTTTTATATCTTATCATCCATAACAAATGGGTTAAGAAGGTGATTCTTTGGTTCATTAGTCTCCTTTTCTGTACTAATAAGCACTATAAAAGTAGTAAAACTGTATATGCCACTTTCTCTAAGAAGTGAGATTCAATACATAGAGGAAAGCTAATAGAGACCCCCAGATTTTAGACTGCCTAACATTTTCCATTATAAAACATTCTTGGGACTTGTTTGGGAAAGCTCCCACATTGATATTTGGCAGAGAGAATGCCTTTAGTCTAGAGAGATGTCTTTTCTTTATCACACGAATTTCTATTCTGATTTAGTTGATTTACAAGGTATTAAAATGGACAATTCCTTACTTTCACTTGAGTTCCTTGTAAACAATTTAGCATTCTGCCAAATAATAAATGAACAAACACATTCTAAAGAACTCTGTCCATACCAGCATTTCAATCTCCTCTTCCAGACACACCACACAAGACTGAAGTTGCCCCATCTCCTGGGAGAGGAGAGTACGCCAGCTAAGGGTCTAAGGGGTGATTCTACTACTTCTCTTCCTGTTACCCCATTAGCTCAAATGACACTGAAGCCCTGCACGCCATAGATTAGCCATGCTCTTAGCTCATATCTAGAGTAGAAGTAGAAATCCTGAGAATCCTGGGATCCAGAGCTTTCAGTCCATTCAAGCAGGACTGGATACAAGAAGAATCCTAGGATCCCAGCAGCCTGCCAAGCAAACTGATGCTAAACCAGACTATGTATCAGCAGAAGTTTGTTGAAATGGATATATTTCCAAGAATCATTCTGGTTTTGATAAACTGGTATTCTTCCATTGAAAGCTGTTTCACTGAAAAATTCCCAACCAGCTTTATGCAGGATGGACTTACAAGGGGGAACAGGTGACAATAAATATTAAATTTCATAACCTTGAAATACTTGGCTAAATAATGTTTTAACAAGTTTTGTGTATGTAATAATAACATTCAGTCATCCTTTTCATACGAGTTGTTCAAAGAGATTTTAACCAAATACATGCAATCATGTAG